CCAATCACATCGATCGTCTAAGAATATAATTAAATACGTTTTCATAAAAAAATTAACCTATGGCTGATAATTCATTCACAACATCCAATCAAATAGAAACTGACTTTTCTTCATGTGAATGGTAACTCAAACTATTAAAATTACCTCAGAATCTGGAAAAACTTTTAATTTACGTTTCCTGCTGGTCGAAGCTGGGGTGAGTGATGATGATGTATCAGCCTCAGATTCCGACTCGCTTCCTACACTAACTAGGGAGACTAAGTGTAACGTACATACTTGCTGTCTTGATGATGATGATGCTGAACAATTCCATGTCTAGTAGACTGTGGAAAACACGATGCAACTAATGGTTAAACACCTCCCAACATTATATTTTATACCCTAAATTATAGCGCTATCCACACTTGGAAGTGTTTTAGTTTGACATATTATAAAATGAAGAAATATTTCATTTGGTAACTTTAGCATTGACCCGTATTAATGTAAACAACATTAATACGGAATATTTTTGCTTATTAACATTAAATGCTCTTATGTGAAAAACAATCAACATAAATGTTTGCATGCGATGTCAAATCAACGCTGCGTCGTCAGCCGAAAATATCATTAGCGTCAGCCAGATGCTGTAAAATGATATCACAGTGTTTTACAGGTAAACGTGTGTATTTCGTAATAATATGGAAATGGGTCAGCATATAGCGGTCAATGTACTTACTAAACTTAGATCCATTATAAATATACCTTTGTTTACAATTAATGCTTTTTGAAGAAAAAAAAAAACTAACAATTTTCAATCTTAAACTATTCGTAATATCTCTAGATAGAATATAGTCTGGAATAACACCCAGGCGTTTGTTGTAAAAGCGTATATATTGCCTACCCATAAATTAATTAGTAATTCTATAAATTACAAGCTTGTTATTACAAGCTTATGTTTGTTCCTAGTGTTTAAAAATGAACATATTTTTTTTTATGTAAGCTATTTATGTTTTTATATACATACATTACATTTTCATAAATATATTTCAATGCTAAGTTAATATGTTTATTTCCTTAAAATTTGTCTCTAAGGGACTCTTTACAATTTAAGTTATAAATCATCCGTATGCCTATCTCTTGCAAACAAATATGACTTCAATGTCAGTCGCATTATCCCATAGTAAGATTCCATAAGACATTACGCTATGAAAGTAACTACATGCTTATCTTATTAATTACGTTTGTACATGGTAGAATCATGCTGCAGCTATACTAATAGTATAGTTGGGTTATAGTTGGGTTTGCTCGACCGGGGAAGGACCACGCTTTTACAGAATACCAGCGTAAAATCGCAGCTTAATGCTGCTGTGTTTCGTATGGTGAGTGTAGAGAACCGGAGACCTATTTCACTGGAAAAGAGGCATTCCTTCTTAGTCCTCACGGGTAACAACGCATCTGCATTTTGATTTGCAAACGAGGATTTGTTTGTAGATTTCTATGGACCACATCAACCACTTACCATCAGGTGGACTGTGTGCTCGTTTGTCACCCTATCCTATAAAAAAATGCTTTTGAACTAAAGCTGATGATTTAGTTAATCTTCAGTAACTTTTTCAAGTTTTTAAATTATTAACACGATTGAAATAACGTTAGTTCATTAAAACCTATCAGCCAATACGGACAAGTTAACAAAACTGTTATGAAATTTCTCAAACAAAAAGAATCACTTAAATTAGAATGTATCTGTCCTGCACCAAAAAATAAGGTTAATCGTCATGGGAGCTTTTTTCCAAATACGATACGTAGTATTGTATGCGGTCCATCAAATTGCGGAAAAACTAACTTAGTTATCAGCTTAATGTTACATCAGAATGGACCGCGTTTCCGCAACCTTTATGTATATTCAAAGTCTTTATATCAACCTAAATACTTATTTTTAGAAAAAGTACTGCAGAATGTCGAAGGTATATCTTATTACAAGTATAATCATAATAGCAACATTTTGAGTCCACACGAAGCTTCGCCTAACTCAATTATAATATTTGAAGATGTAGCTTGTGAAAATCAGAACAACATACGCGATTATTTCGCCATAGGTCGACATAAGAACATTGACTGTTTTTATATTAATCAAACGTATACTAAGATACCTAAGCTAGTTAGAGATAACGCTAACCTGATCATATTGTTTAAACAAGATGACGTAAATCTGAGACAAATTTATGACGAGCATATAGGGTCTGACATGACATGGTCTCAGTTCCTTGAAATGTTTTCAACTGTGTGGAGTAAAACTTTCAATTATATTGTTATAAATAAACGCTGTGAATGGAATAAAGGCTGTTACAGAATGAAGTTTGATACATTCATAATTACCTAAATACATATATATTATATATAATATATTACATAAATATATATATATATATATATATATATATATATATATACAATAATTTTAGACTAACGTTTAAATAGCTGCTATGTCACAAAGCAATCAGTTTCTGCTGAGTAGTCAAACATAGTACAATTCCTTTACAATGGAGCGAGACCTAAAGAAAAAAATTGTAAAATCTGCTGCAGCTGTAAAAAGAAAGGTAGAAATGATAAAAGATGCAAAAAATACAAAGAGTCTGTCTTTGGAAACAATATTTAAGCCTATCGTTGATCCACTTAATATGCTTACCAAAAAACTGAAGAAAAGCAGCATTTAAATGAAGATACAGACCAAGCTCACCTTATTAAAAAACCTAAGTACAGCACAAGTAAGTCATCGATTTCTTCAAGTGATGTGTTTGAAGATCCTGTTAATAATGAAGAAAACTCAGATAACAATGTTTATACAACATCCCACAAAACCCTTACTCACTCGCTTCCTGCGGATGATAATGACGCGAATAAAATTTCGTTTAAATCACTTCATACAACACCAAGTATTGCAAATGATTTATTATCATGGACTATGTCATCAGAATTACTAAAATATATGACTTATGGTGTTAGGAATGAACGTTGGAAACTAATGCTCGGCCCATTTCGTGTCTATGATAATGATCACATCTTTAAAATTGGAAATCATAGTTTGAAAAAAACTCCAGGCTTAAAAGAGTTATTGTTTAAAAAGCTACCAAATTTAGATATTGTGACAGAGGAAGACTTACAAAATTATAAATTGTTACTTTTGCATACTAATGCACACAAACGTAATTATGATCCGTCCAAACTGATTAACAGTAACAAAGGATTTAAATATATGCAAGTAATCAAACCATTGTTTAAGCACTCGAGAAATCATAAAAGTAGTGCAGAAAGTCTTCCAAAGGGAGAAGGAGTTGATATTTTAAAAGAAGTTAAAAAAAATACTGATTTAGTTTAGTGAAACGATCCAAAGGAGTTAGTAGAACAATTAAAATTACCACTTAGATCATGGGCAGCTGGTAACACAGGGGTTTACAATGAAATTAGTGGAAGAATTGCATGAATCTGGCATCATAAAAGACATTAAATATATTAAACTGCCTACAAGAGGATTACGCAGTACCATTTCATTACAGAAGCCGATAAGACGGCTATGAATATAGACAAATTTGGTCATCATGTTTATAAGCGTTTACGACTATCTGAATGCTCTGATATTCTCAGTGACGCTTTAGTAAGAACAGACGCTGATGATTTTGATTTGAAATCAACAAGATTAAAAGGACTGCAAACTCATGAAAAAGAGGATGAGGCCGTGAATAAAGAATATGTGGATAAATGTGTTCAAGAACTTAAAAATGAAATGAAAACAATTCACGATAATGTCAAAAAGTACCTTAACAATTTAGAAACATTGACTACTATCAATTTCAGGACAATGTATTACAATAAAAAGGAAATCGACCTCATGATTGCATCAAAACCTGCCCAAAATGAGTAGACAAGATATAGTCAATGAGCTTCACAAAGCAGCAACAAGAAATTTTTCTCGTCAACATACGATTATTAAAGGAATAGATGATTTATGGCAAGCTGACCTGATTGATTTTCAAAAATATTCCACGTTTAATAAAGGATATAAATATGTTTTAGTAGTAATCGATGCTCTATCAAAATACGTATGGGTTAGACCATTGAAAATGAAACATAAAAATTGTGTCAAAATGCGATGCAAAGTTTATTATCTGAATCAAGACAAAAACCTAAAAATTTACAAACAGATCTTGGTACAGATTTTTATAATGATTTTTTTAAGAATTTATTGAAAAATTATAATATTAATCATTATTCCACGTACTCCATTAAAAAGGCTTCCATTGTAGAACGAGTAATAAGAACTTTAAAAGCTCACCTTTACAAAATATTCAGTCTATGCGGACGATATCAATGGTTCAAAAATAATTTAGATTTTGTTTTAAAGCGGTATAATAATACTTTACATCGCATTACAAAATTTAAGCCTATCAACGTTAATGATTCAAATGCGATTTTGACAAGTTTGTCTCAAAAGTCTAAGATACGTCAAGGACCGGCGTTTTACGCTAGCGATTACGTTCGTATAAGCAAATACAAAGGAGATTTTTACAACGGTTATACCCCTAATTGGTCTACAGAAATATTTCGTATCGTTAAAGTCAACCAAACCAATTTTCACACCTATCAAATAGAAGACAAACACAATCAAAAAATTCTAGGCTCTTTTTACGGTTACGAATTACAAAAAACTAAATTTCCAGACCTTTATCTTATTGAAAAGACATGAAAAGAAAAGGAAATAAGCTTTTAGAAAAATGGTTAGGTTTGAGTGATGAAGTAAATAGTTGGGTGGATAAAAGTGAATTAGTGGTTTAGGTATAAAAATAACGTAGGTATTATTACTTAATAATTTCATTTTATACTTATAAGTGAAGGAAGGCAGTGGTATAATTAATAAAGTAATAGACAATTTACCGTTTGAGCTACATTTACCCGGCTATCAATTTTGCGGCCCCGGAACTAAACTTCAAAAACGGTTACTAAAAGGCGATCGTGGGATAAACAAATTGGATGAAGCGTGCATGCTCCATGATATTGCTTACACAAACAAAGATTCAGGCGCCCGACAAAAAGCGGATTTAGAACTTTTGAAAATGGCTAAGAGGAGGTTGAAATCAGAAGATGCTAGAAAAGGAGAAAAAAATGCCTCATGGATAGTCAAAAATGCGATGAAAGCGAAATTCCGGGCGGGGAGCGGTATAAAAGCATTTAAGAAGCGGATAAAAAAATACAGTCTCAGTTGAAAAAACTAAAATCATGAGACAGTCACTCGGCTATAAAATATGCCTATGCAGCTACAAAGAAAATATTTAGTAATAAAAAAGGAATAAGTTTACCCCGTTGTATTTCTCTTCCAAAGCGTGGAGGATTTTTACCACTTATTCCCATATTTGCAGTATTGTCAGCTTTAGGATCATTAGCCGGTGGAGCAGCGGGTATAGCAAAAGCTGTTAATGATTCAAAATCAGCACAAAAGAGTCTTCAGGAATCTGAAAGACACAACAGAATGATGGAAGCCGTTGCTCTAGGAAAAGGATTATATATTAAACCTTATAAACAAGAAGCAGGTTTATATATTAACCCCTCAAAAAACTAATTAAACGGCTACCCAGATGGGCGCTCACTAATCTCGACATATTAGAAAATGCAAGTGACATTCTATACTTTTGCGGCGTTTTCATGAGAAATAAATTACCTTTGAAACCGAGAAAGATAGAACGTGGAATACTGAATTTAGATAGCTACAGAAATCCTGGAACGCATTGGGTAGCCTTTGTAAAGCACATAAATACGTAGAATATTATGATAGTTTTGGTAATTTAAAGCCCCCGTTAGAATTAGTTAAATATACGCCTAACTTACCTATTAACTATAATGATGCGTGACATCAAGCGTTTGGTGCTACAAAGCGTTTGGTGGACATCTTTGTATAAAATTTTTAAGGAATCACTGGAAAAAAGCATTTATATAGTGTATAAAATAAATAAACGTATCAGTATAAAAATTGGGGGTCATTGTAGAAGCGTGCTCGTCGCGACCCCTGCCAGCCCATTTCAGGGCTGCAATTCTACTCAGCTGCGCACCCATGCCAACGAGGGTTAGGGCGTCCCCCCAAGGCGACGCACACCAGTTCGTCCCCGTTGGTGTGGAATGCAACGCGCAAAGCGGCGATGGGGACCGCCACCCGTCACGCACAGCCCGACACGGCGGAAGGTGGAGGACAGAGTGCAGAGTTGGCACGTGGAATGTTAGAGGAGGCATGAGAGATAAGACGAATGAGTTGATTGAAATAATGAAAGAAAGAGAATTAGATGTCGTGTGTATGTCGGAGACCAAACGGAAGGGCAGTGGTACTGAAGAGCTCCCTGGCGGGGCGTTAGCTCTATGGTCCGGAGTCCCGGAGAGCGAGAGCGCCTGCCAGGGAGTGGGGGTGCTGCTGTCTTCTCGGTTGGTCGATGTTATGACTGAATATAAGGTTGTGAACTCAAGACTTCTCTGGGTTCGCTTTAAATTGGGACTGACGAAGTTATTCCTTTTGGCTGTTTATGCGCCGGTAGCTTCGTCGTCCAGGGCTGAGCTGGAGGAGTTTTGGGAGAATGTAAGAGAAGTTCTAGATTTGGCTAGGGGAAACGAAAGAATTGTTGTATGTGGGGATTTGAATGGATGGGTTGGTACCGCTCGACCAGGGTACGAGTCGGTACTTGGAAAGTTTGGCGACAAAAGGATTAATGATGCTAGCAAGCTTATACTGGCGGTGTGCAAGGAAAAGGGTCTTCTTGTGACAAACATTATGTTTAATCACAAGAAAATCCATATGTATACTAGAGAACGAAAGAATGAGAGAAGTATGATCGATTTGTTCCTGGTGGATGACCGACTGCGAAAACAGGTGATGGATACGCGAGTGTTCAGGGGTGCTGACCTGGGAACGGATCACTATCTAGTGATTACTAGATTTAGGGGTCTGTTCGCGGGTTGGCGCTACCGGACGGCAGTAACAGAACCACAGTCGGTCTGTCGCATCCGAAGCTGGAAGCTTCAGGAAGTGGATACTAGGGAAAAATATCATGCGAGGGTAGCCGAAAAGCTTGACACCATCGATGGCAGAAACGAATGTGTAGAAAGAACATGGCAGAACCTTAGGGATGGAATGGTAAGTGTAGCGGAAGAAGTGTGTGGAACAATAAAAAGAGGCAGTAGTAAAAGAAGAGATGCATGGTGGAATGATGAAGTGAAAGAAGCTGTAAAGAAGAAGAAGAAAGCATGGTTAGACTACTTGGCCTCTAGTAATGATAAGGATATGAGAGAGAAGATGAAAGAAAGATATAGGCTGCAGAAAGTTCACACGAAAGCATTGATTGAGGAAGTGCGTGAAAGGTGTAGAATGGAAGCGGACGAAAGGTTGTCGCACAACTTTAAGGAGAACTCCAAACTCTTCTGGAAAGAGGTTGGAAGGACCCGAAGTGGTGCGGCGGCCTTAAGAATGAACAAAGTGCTTTCGCGAACTAATGACGTCCTCTCAGAAAAATCGGACGTCATGCAGCGATGGAGCGAATTTTATAGAGAAATGTATGCGTGTGATGATCTTAGTGAGGGATCCGGGGATGACGCCGTGACTGGTACGCCAGACCCGGACCTCGATGACACTGAGGTCATCAGTATGAAAGAGATTGAACGTGTGATTCGAAGTTTGAAATGTGGTAAGGCTGCGGGACTAGACAGAGTTACTGCTGAAATGGTCAAGTATGGTGGGCCTCGCGTCTGGGACAGCTTCCATCTGCTGTGCAATTTGTGCTGGCGGACGGGGGATGTCCCGGATGATTGGCGATCCGCAGTCATTGTGCCTTTATATAAAGGTAAAGGTTCACATTTTGACTGCGGGTGCTATCGGGCGATCAGCTTGACCAGTTTAGCAAGTAAAGTTTACTCGAAGGTTTTGACACGTAGGATGCAAGAGAAATCGGAAAAATTTCTATGGGAGGCACAATGCGGATTTAGACCTGGAAGAGGATGCACGGATCAAATGTTTTCTCTCCGCATGATCACGGAAAAGCTTCTGGCTGCTAACCAGAGGATTTTCTGTGCTTTTGTGGATCTTGAGAAAGCATTTGATAAGATTGTAAGGAAGGAAATTGGGAACTGTTGCCGGGGTATGGTGTGGATGGTCGATTGCTAAGGGCTGTGCAGTCTCTTTACTGTGACTGTAAAGCCTGTGTGCGGGTAGGGCATGACCTGTTACCCATGTTTAACGTCCAAACGGGCGTAAAGCAGGGTTGTGTCATGTCCTCCTGGCTGTTCATACTGTATCTCGACAGCTGTTTACAGAAGCTGAAAGATAGCTGTTTGGGTGTGAAATTGGGTGACATAAAGGTAAATTGTTTGCTGTATGCTGATGATGCAGTGCTTATTGCACCATCAGAGGCAGAACTGCAGGCATTAGTCACGTGTATGAAAGAGGAATGTGAAATTAAAGGTCTCCGTTTGAATGCTAATAAAACTAAGGTTCTGGTATTTGAAAGGGACGAAGAGAGAACGAAGTGTGAAATATGGGTAAATCAGGAATGTCTAGAACAGGTAAATGAAATTGTATACTTGGGGAGTGCTTTTAGCCGGGATGGAAGATGTGATTTAGATGTGGACAGGCGTGTCGCTGCCGGGAACAAAGTCAATGGTGCCCTGACTGCGTTAGTCAAAAGGCAAGGCGTAGCGAAGAGTGCACGCCTTGCAATACATAACGCAGTGTTGGTACCGACTTTGTTATATGGCAGCGAAACCTGGGTATTCCAGAAGAAGCATAAAAGTAAGTTGAATGCAGTGGAGATGCGATCTCTTCGTAAAATGTGCGGCGTTACTATGGCCGACCGAAAGCGAAACGAAGAGATTCGCAATATGGCAGGTTTGAAAGATGACCTTATCACAAAAATTGATAAGGGCGTGCTTCGGTGGTTTGGGCACGTTGAGCGAATGAGTGAAGACCGAATGGTGAAGAAAATATATAGCGCGAAAGTTAATATTAAAAGGTGTCGAGGTAGACCGAGACTAACTTTCGAAGACCATGTGAGCAAATTGCTCGAAGAGGATAGGGTCAGGAGTACTCGGATACCTAGACGTGCATGCATGAAGAAGATAATGAATCTGAAAGAAGCGGAAGAGGTTTGTAAGGATCGTGACACTTGGCGATCTGTTCTCTCTGGCTACCCCGTTAGGAATTGTGCGTGAAGATAAGTAAGTAAGTATAAAAATGTCTTTCACTGTGTCTATAACTGGGACAGGAGCCTCTTTATTAACGAACTATTCACCGACAATAGAACTACGAGGAGACTACGAATGTGGCCTTTTGTATTTTTCAACTTTCAATTCTATTCCCAATATAGATGAAAGAAACAACAAATTTTATTGGTAAAAAGAAATGATCGAAATTACTGAAGGGTCTTACGAGATTCTAGATATTTGTGATTATCTACAAAATAATATTAAGAACGCTGTACAAAACTAACTTGTAGCAATAATACATTGAAAACAAATATTTTTTGCTCTGAAGATGTGCACTTTAATAGAAGCGAATCACTGGGTAAAATTTTAGGCTTTGGTATGGAATCCATAAAAGCAAATATAAGCACTGAATCAAAGTATCCTGTCAGTATTCTATCGACAACCATCGTGCGGATTGAATGCGATGTAGTTAATGGTTCATTTGTCAACTGGAAAGCAAGAAATTTTTGAATTTGCACCTAATGTACCACCTGGTTATCGAATAATTGAAATACCCAGAATCTTGATTTATTTTCCTGTTAACCAAAGTTTCATAAGTGCTATCAATATAAAGTTATTGAACGCTGAGAATAAAGAGATAAATTTACGAGGTGAAGAAGTACAACTGTATTTACATTTCCGAAAAAAAAAATGAGACAAATTTAAAAGAACATCTCATAAAGGCACAACTATTCAGCTAAAAAAGAAGCTTACCAAGTCTAATAAAGAATTTCTTAAGCTAGTTTGGCTTGATAAAATGAATATTTTAAACGTATCTCAACAAACATCATACGATAACAGCATTGAAAGTTTTGAGTATCATTCATACAAACCATATGTAACTAGTTTTAACAAGAATGACGAAATACGTATTCCTATTTATCAACAAGACCTGTACGTACTACCTTCATTCAGTAGTTTATATATCGAGGGAAAGGTGAACGTTTATAACAGCACCACAAAAGAAAAGGTATCAAACGTACATTTTGTCAATAATCTAGTGCTATTTCTTTTTCAAGACATACTATATGAACTTAATGGAGTAGAAATAAATAAAATTAAGAATGCTGGTGTCATTACTACAATAAAATTTTATCTATTCTTAAATGAAAATGAATCCAAATGTGCTCGAGTTTGGGGCTGGTCAACTGGCGGAACAAGCAATACTAGTGGTAGAGCGTTTTCCGCGTCTATACCATTGAACAAGATATTAGGATTTGCAGAAGATTATGAAAAAATTATAATTAATTGTAAACATGAGTTAGTATTATTACGAAGCAATATGGGCATTCTCGAAAAAGTTTTTGAGTTGCATTCTCGTGCTGGGAATGTAGGCGACAAGTG